AGGATGGGTGGTGTACTGTGGGAGGAGTCAAGTGAGGATGGGAGGTGTACTCTGGGAAAAGTCAAGTGAGGATGGGTGGTGTACTGTGGGTGGAGTCAAGTGAGGATGGGTGGTGTACTGTAGGTAGAGTCAAGTGAGGATGGGTGGTGTACTGTGGGTGGAGTCAAGTGAGGATGGGTGGTGTACTGTGGGAGGAGTCAAGTGAGGATGGGTGGTGTACTGTAGGTAGAGTCAAGTGAGGATGGGCGGTGTACTGTGGGTGGAGTCAAGTGAGGATGGGCGGTGTACTGTGGGAGGAGTCAAGTGAGGATGGGTGGTGTACTGTAGGTGGAGTCAAGTGAGGATGGGTGGTGTACTGTGGGAGGAGTCAAGTGAGGATGGGTGGTGTACTGTAGGTGGAGTCAAGTGAGGATGGGTGGTGTACTGTAGGTGGAGTCAAGTGAGGATGGGCGGTGTACTGTAGGTGGAGTCAAGTGAGGATGGGTGGTGTACTGTAGGTAGAGTCAAGTGAGGATGGGTGGTGTACTGTGGGAGGAGTCAAGTGAGGATGGGCGGTGTACTGTAGGTGGAGTCAAGTGAGGATGGGTGGTGTACTGTGGGAGGAGTCAAGTGAGGATGGGTGGTGTACTGTGGGAGGAGTCAAGTGAGGATGGGCGGTGTACTGTGGGAGGAGTCAAGTGAGGATGGGCGGTGTACTGTAGGTGGAGTCAAGTGAGGATGGGTGGTGTACTGTGGGAGGAGTCAAGTGAGGATGGGTGGTGTACTGTGGGAGGAGTCAAGTGAGGATGGGTGGTGTACTGTAGGTGGAGTCAAGTGAGGATGGGTGGTGTACTGTGGGAGGAGTCAAGTGAGGATGGGTGGTGTACTGTAGGTGGAGTCAAGTGAGGATGGGTGGTGTACTGTAGGTGGAGTCAAGTGAGGATAGGCGGTGTACTGTAGGTGGAGTCAAGTGAGGATGGGTGGTGTACTGTGGGAGGAGTCAAGTGAGGATGGGTGGTGTACTGTGGGAGGAGTCAAGTGAGGATGGGCGGTGTACTGTGGGAGGAGTCAAGTGAGGATGGGCGGTGTACTGTAGGTGGAGTCAAGTGAGGATGGGTGGTGTACTGTGGGAGGAGTCAAGTGAGGATGGGTGGTGTACTGTGGGAGGAGTCAAGTGAGGATGGGTGGTGTACTGTAGGTGGAGTCAAGTGAGGATGGGTGGTGTACTGTGGGAGGAGTCAAGTGAGGATGGGTGGTGTACTGTGGGAGGAGTCAAGTGAGGATGGGTGGTTTGCTGTAGGTGGAGTCAAGTGAGGATGGGTGGTTTGCTGTAGGTGGAGTCAAGTGAGGATGGGTGGGGTACTGTTGGAGGAGTCAAGTGAGGATAGGTGGTGTACTGTAGGTTGAGTCAAGTGAGGATTGGTGGTGTACTCTGGGAAAAGTCAAGTGAGGATGGGTGGTGTACTAGGGGAGGAGTCAAATGAGGATGGGTGGTGTACTAGGGGAGGAGTCAAATGAGGATGGGTGGTGTACACGACAGCTTCAGCGGGAGTGACTTGAAGAAACATGACAGGTTCAGGGGAAGGGTCTTGAAGAAACATGACAGCTTCAGCGGGAGTGACTTGAAGAAACATGACAGGTTCAGGGGAAGGGTCTTGAAGAAACATGACAGGTTCAGCGGGAGGGACTTGAAGAAACATGACAGGTTCAGGGGGAGGGACTTGAAGAAACATGACAGGTTCAGGGGAAGGGCCTTGAAGAAACATGACAGGTTCAGGGGGAGTGACTTGAAGAAACATGACAGGTTCAGGGGGAGTGACTTGAAGAAACATGACAGGTTCAGGGGGAGTGACTTGAAGAAACATGACTGGTTCAGGGGGAGTGACTTGAAGAAACATGACAGGTTCAGGGGGAGGGACTTAAAGAAACCTGACTGGTTCAGGGGGAGGGAGTTGAAGAAACATGACAGGTTCAGGGGAAGGGTCTTGAAGAAACATGACAGGTTCAGGGGGAGGGTCTTGAAGAAACATGACATGTTCAGGGGGAGTGAATTGAAGAAACATGACATGTTCAGGGGGAGTGACTTGAAGAAACATGACAGGTTCAGCGGGAGTGACTTGAAGAAACATGTAGGCATCAAAATGCATGGAGCACATTCAGGTCTTTCTTCTCAAATACAGGTAGAGTCATACCTAGATTTGAGTTTAAGAATGTCAGGATTGCTGCATTGATTTAGCAAAATGTGATGATGATTATCATCTTCAAAACTTTGAACAACCGATGACAGTGAAAGATTTGTAAAGCACTGTTACATTTTGCATCTGACTTCTATAGGATACATGGAACAACTAATCCTACAACACGATCCTACAACATAATCCAACAATACAATTCTTGCATTTTGAAGGCATAATAGTGCATGCCTGCTTGACGAGAGGTACATTGGTAAATGTGCTTCATCATTGTGTATATTGACTGAATATACACAATAAACTGGATGTAGTCTTGTGTTGTGATTATATAATGTGAGTGGAGAGATTTGCCTTCCCACTTGGTCACAGTAATACATAGGATACAAAACTCGCTCCCATTTCAGAACAACGTATGTTCCCCATGTTAACATAAACTTGATATGAAATTGGAAGCTTGTTCAAAATTCTTTATGAACCTCCAGTGATGTCAGCTTATTATTCTATGTAAGGTTTTCTCCTGTCAGCAAGTACTTGGACTCAATCAAGTTGAAACCCAGGAGCGACTTTGAATGTACACAGGGAGGTGTTACTGTCCCTACTTTGAGGTTCTACTTCCTACAAGTAAAACCTGCTTAGAAGTTTTACTTCCCACAAGTGAGACCTGCTTTGAGGTTTCACTTCCTACAAGTACGACCTGCATGGAGGTTTTACTTCCTACAAGTAAAACCTGCTTTGAGGATTTACTTTCTACAAGTAAGACCTGCTTTGAGGTTTCACTTCCTACAAGTAAGACCTGCATGGAGGTTTTACTTTCTACAAGTAAAACCTGCTTTGAGGTTTCACTTTCTACAAGTAAGACCTGCATGGAGGTTTTACTTCCTACAAGTAAAACCTGCTTTGAGGATTTACTTTCTACAAGTAAGACCTGCATGCAGGTTTTACTTCCTACAAGTAAAACCTGCTTTGAGGTTTCACTTTCTACAAGTAAGACCTGCATGGAGGTTTTACTTCCTACAAGTAAGACCTGCTTTGAGGTTTCACTTCCTACAAGTAAGACCTGCATGGAGGTTTTACTTCCTACAAGTAAAACCTGCTTTGAGGTTTCACTTTCTACAAGTACGACCTGCTTTGAGGATTTACTTTCTACAAGTAAGACCTGCTTTGAGGTTTCACTTTTTACAAGTAGGACCTGCATTGAGGTTTTACTTTCTACAAGTAAGACCTGCTTTGAGGTTTTACTTTCTACAAGTAGGACCTGCTTTGAAGTTTTACTTTCTACAAGTAGGACCTGCTTTGAAGTTTTACTTTCTACAAGTAATACCTGCTTTGAGATTTCACTTCCTATAAGTAAGACCTGCTTTGAGATTTTACTTTTTACAAGTAGGACCTGCTTTGAGGTTTTACTTTCTACAAGTAAGACCTGCTTCGAGGTTTTACTTTCTACAAGTAGGACCTGCTTTGAAGTTTTACTTTCTACAAGTAATACCTGCTTTGAGATTTCACTTCCTACAAGTAAGACCTGCATGGAGGTTTTACTTCCTACAAGTAAGACCTGCTTTGAGGTTTCACTTCCTACAAGTAAGACCTGCATGGAGGTTTTACTTCTTACATGTAGGACCTGCTTTGAGGTTTTACTTCCTACAAGTAAAATCTGCTTTGAGGATTTACTTTCTACAAGTAAGACCTGCTTTGAGGTTTTACTTTTTACAAGTAGGACCTGCTTTGAGGTTTTACTTTCTACAAGTAAGACCTGCTTTGAGGTTTTACTTTCTACAAGTAGGACCTGCTTTGAAGTTTTACTTTCTACAAGTAATACCTGCTTTGAGATTTCACTTCCTACAAGTAAGACCTGCATGGAGGTTTTACTTCCTACAAGTAAGACCTGCTTTGAGGTTTCACTTCCTACAAGACCTGCATGGAGGTTTTACTTCCTACAAGTAAGACCTGCTTTGAGGTTTCACTTCCTACAAGACCTGCATGGAGGTTTTACTTCTTACATGTAGGACCTGCTTTGAGGTTTTACCTCTTACATGTAGGACCTGCTTTGAGGTTTTACTTTCTACAATTATGACCTGCTTTGAGGTAGTATTTCTTTCAAGTAATACCTAAGATTTTCATTTGAATAATAAATAAGACCTGCTTTGTGGTTTTATTTTTTAACTATACCAATTAATACACATTAAATGTTGATTTTTGACAGTTAAAAACTTAAGATGCCATGTCAGGAATGAAACCTGCAACTTTATATATCATGTTTCAGACTGTAACCCAGTGATTTCCCACTATGCCACCGGAGCATGAAGTAAAGGTTCACTCAGCCTGGTGTTGGTGGGAGTAGTAAGGCCTCAGAGAGGACAGATGAAAAAGTAACACTTTTGGCCTTGGTCTTACAACTTTCACCAGGACCAGGACCTCATTCTAGATCATGAACCTTTACATGAACCCAACCTTCCAGAAGCCACCAGGGCAGATGGCTGGTTCAACAGAATTGTCTCCCCTAGACCTATAAACCACACACTCACACTATTTTAGAAGAGTTTCACTCAACCCTAAAGGGACATGCCAACTTCAACTTTGATGTTCTTGGACAATGGAATGACTCTCTGATGCCAGCTGATTACATATCTTGCTACAGGGCTTTACAGTTACATTGTTAGACATGGCTGACATGTCATGTAAGGCATCACTGTCTAACCAACAGTTAACATATCCACCACTTTGTGTATGACATGAATAAAGGATTGACAATGGACTGCCCATTGGTCTTCAATATATAAGGGTTCTTTATCAGAGCTGAGGAAAGAGTAGGAAAAGTGTGTTTGTGCTCACGTGAGTACTTGATGGTCATCCTCTCCCTCTCCACGCCGTATGTAGCCCTGGGCAGGCTGTACAGCGAGATGAACAAGGTGTTGTGCACTGCGGCACTGTAGCGGAGACAGTGGCTGAACTGCACATGCTAAAACAGACCACACTCAACCTGCAGTCAACTAAACATGGCACTGTTTATATAGTTTATTAAAATACTGTGGTATGCTATACAATGCATATAGTTGATAAATATACTGGGGTATGTTATATAATGCATCTAGTTGATAAATATACTTGGGTATGTTATATAATGCATCTAGCTGATAAATATACCGGGGTATGTTATATAATGTATCTAGTTGACAAATATATACTGGGGAGTGCCCTAGTCATAAAACTGATGATATTAACATATTATCAGTATATTTCATCCTTATGCCAACACCAACACACAACACATCACATGTACATCATCCACCAACACATCACCTGTACATCATCCACCAACACACAACACATCACATGTACATCGTCCACCAACACATCACATGTACATTGTCCACCAACACACAACACATCACATGTACATCGTCCACCAACACACAACACATCACCTGTACATCGTCCACCAACACATCACCTGTACATCATCCACCAACACATCACATGTACATCATCCACCAACACATCACCTGTACATCATCCACCAACACATCACCTGTACATTGTCCACCAACACATCACCTGTACATCGTCCACCAACACATCACCTGTACATCATCCACTAACATATTACCTGTACATCATCCACCAACACATCACATGTACATCATCCACCAACACATCACCTGTACATCATCCACCAACACATCACCTGTACATTGTCCACCAACACATCACCTGTACATCGTCCACCAACACATCACCTGTACATTGTCCACCAACACACAACACATCACATGTACATCGTCCACCAACACACAACACATCACCTGTACATCGTCCACCAACACATCACCTGTACATCATCCACCAACACATCACATGTACATCATCCACCAACACATCACCTGTACATCATCCACCAACACATCACCTGTACATTGTCCACCAACACATCACCTGTACATCGTCCACCAACACATCACCTCTACATTGTCCACCAACACACAACACATCACCTGTACATCATCCACCAACACATCACCTGTACATTGTCCACCAACACATCACCTGTACATCGTCCACCAACACATCACCTGTACATCATCAACCAACACATCACCTGTACATCATCCACCAACACATCACATGTACATCATCCACCAACACATCACCTGTACATCATCCACTAACATATTACCTGTACATCATCCACCAACACATCACCTGTACATCGTCCACCAACACATCAACTGTACATTGTCCACCAACACATCACCTGTACATCGTCCACTAACATATTACCTGTACATCATCCACCAACACATCACCTGTACATCATCCACCAACACATCACCTGTACATCATCCACCAACACATCACATGTACATCATCCACCAACACATCACCTGTACATCATCCACCAACACATCACCTGTACATCATCCACCAACACATCACCTGTACATCATCCACTAACATATTACCTGTACATCATCCACCAACACATCACCTGTACATCATCCACTAACATATTACCTGTACATCATCCACCAACACATCACCTGTACATCATCCACTAACATATTACCTGTACATCATCCACCAACACATCACCTGTACATCATCCACTAACATATTACCTGTACATCATCCACCAACACATCACCTGTACATCATCCACCAACACATCACCTGTACATCGTCCACCAACACATCAACTGTACATTGTCCACCAACACATCACCTGTACATCGTCCACTAACATATTACCTGTACATCATCCACCAACACATCACCTGTACATCATCCACCAACACATCACCTGTACATCGTCCACTAACATATTACCTGTACATCATCCACCAACACATCACCTATACATCGTCCACCAACACATCACCTGTACATCATCCACCAACACATCACCTGTACATCATCCACCAACACATCACCTGTACATCATCCACTAACATATTACCTGTACATCATCCACCAACACATCACCTGTACATCATCCACTAACATATTACCTGTACATCATCCACCAACACATCACCTGTACATCATCCACTAACATATTACCTGTACATCATCCACCAACACATCACCTGTACATCATCCACCAACACATCACCTGTACATCGTCCACCAACACATCACCTGTACATCATCCACCAACACATCACCTGTACATCATCCACCAACACATCACCTGTACATCATCCACCAACACATCACCTGTACATCATCCACCAACACATAACCTGTACATCATCCACTAACATATTACCTGTACATCATCCACCAACACATCACCTGTACATCATCCACTAACATATTACCTGTACATCATCCACCAACACATCACCTGTACATCATCCACTAACATATTACCTGTACATCATCCACCAACACATCACCTGTACATCATCCACTAACATATTACCTGTACATCATCCACCAACACATCACCTGTACATCATCCACCAACACATCACCTGTACATCGTCCACCAACACATCAACTGTACATTGTCCACCAACACATCACCTGTACATCATCCACCAACACATCCCCTGTACATCGTCCACTAACACATCACCTGTACATCGTCCACCAACACATCACCTGTACATCATCCACTAACATATTACCTGTACATCATCCACCAACACATCACCTGTACATCATCAACCAACACTTCACCTGTACATCGTCCACTAACACATCAACTGTACATTGTCCACAAACACATAACATGTACATTGTCCACCAACACACAACACATCACCTGTACATCATCCACCAACACATCACCTGTACATCATCCACCAACACATCACCTGTACATCGTCCACTAACACATCACCTGTACATCGTCCACCAACACATCACCTGTACATCATCCACTAACATATTACCTGTACATCATCCACCAACACATCACCTGTACATCATCCACCAACACATCACCTGTACATTGTCCACCAACACATCACATGTACATTGTCCACCAACACATAACATGTACACTGTCCACCAACACATCACCTGTACATTGTCCACCAACACATAACATGTACATTGTCCACCAACACATAACATGTACATTGTCCACCAACACATAACATGTACATTGTCCACCAACACATAACATGTACATTGTCCACCAACACATCACCTGTACATTGTCCACCAACACATCACCTGTACATTGTCCACCAACACATCACATGTACATTGTCCACCAACACATAACATGTACATTGTCCACCAACACATAACATGTACATTGTCCACCAACACATCACCTGTACATTGTCCACCAACACATAACATGTACATTGTCCACCAACACATAACATGTACATTGTCCACCAACACATAACTTGTACATCGTCCACCAACACATCACCTGTACATCGTCCACCAACACATCAACTGTACATTGTCCACCAACACATCACCTGTACATCATCCACCAACACATCACCTGTACATCGTCCACCAACACATCAACTGTACATCATCCACCAACACATCACCTGTACATCATCCACCAACACATCACCTGTACATCATCCACCAACACATCACCTGTACATCGTCTACCAACACATCACCTGTACATCATCCACTAACTTATTACCTGTACATCATCCACCAACACATCACCTGTACATTGTCCACCAACACATCACCTGTACATCATCCACCAACACATCACCTGTACATCATCCACCAACACATCACCTGTACATCATCCACCAACACATCACCTGTACATCATCCACCAACACATCACCTGTACATCATCCACCAACACATCACATGTACATCATCCACCAACACATCACCTGTACATCATCCACCAACACATCACATGTACATCATCCACCAACACATCACCTGTACATCATCCACCAACACATCACCTGTACATCATCCACCAACACATCACCTGTACATCATCCACCAACACATCACCTGTACATCATCCACCAACACATCACCTGTACATCATCCACCAACACATCACCTGTACATCATCCACCAACACATCACCTGTACATCATCCACCAACACACAACACATCACCTGTACATCATCCACCAACGCATCACCTGTACATCATCCACCAACACATCAACTGTACATCATCCACCAACACATCACCTGTACATCATCCACCAACACATCACCTGTACATTGTCCACCAACACACAACACATCACCTGTACATCATCCACCAACACAACACCTGTACATCATCCACCAACACATCAACTGTACATCATCCACCAACACATCACATGATCATCGTCCACCAACACATCACCTGTACATTGTCCACCAACACACAACACATCACCTGTACATCGTCCACCAACACAACACCTGTACATCATCCACCAACACATCACCTGTACATCATCCACTAACACATCACCTGTACATTGTCCACCAACACATCACCTGTACATCATCCACCAACACACAACACATCACCTGTACATCATCCATCAACACATCACCTGTATATTGTCCACCAACACATCACCTGTACATCATCCACCAATACATCACCTGTACATCATCCACCAACACATCACCTGTACATTGTCCACCAACACACAACACATCACCTGTACATCATCCACCAACACATTACCTGTACATCATCCACCAACACATCACCTGTACATTGTCCACCAACACACAACACATCACATGTACATCATCCACCAACACAACACCTGTACATCATCCACCAACACATCAACTGTACATCATCCACCAACACATCACCTGTACATCATTCACCAACACATCACCTGTACATTGTCCACCAACACACAACACATCACATGTACATCATCCACCAACACATCACCTGTACATCATTCACCAACACATCACCTGTACATTGTCCACCAACACACAACACATCACCTGTACATCATCCACCAACACATCACCTGTACATCATCCACTAACACATCACCTGTACATTGTCCACCAACACATCACCTGTACATCATCCACCAACACACAACACATCACCTGTACATCATCCACCAACACATCACCTGTACATCATCCACCAACACATCACATGTACATCATCCACCAACACATCAACTGTACATCATCCACCAACACATCACCTGTACATCATCCACCAACACATCACCTGTACATTGTCCACCAACACACAACACATCACATGTACATTGTCCACCAACACACAACACATCACCTGTACATTGTCCACCAACACACAACACATCACCTATACATTGTCCACCAACACATCACCTGTACAATGTCCACCAACACACAACACATCACCTGTACATTGTCCACCAACACATCACCTGTACATCGTCCACCAACACATCACCTGTACATCGTCCACCAACACATCACCTGTACATCATCCACCAACACATCACCTGTACATTGTCCACCAACACATCACCTGTACATCATCAACCAACACATCACCTGTACATTGTCCACCAACACATCACATGTACATCATCCACCAACACATCACCTGTACATCATCCACCAACACATCACCTGTACATCATCCACCAACACATCACATGTACATCATCCACCAACACATCAACTGTACATCATCCACCAACACATCACCTGTACATCATCCACCAACACATCACCTGTACATTGTCCACCAACACACAACACATCACATGTACATTGTCCACCAACACTCAACACATCACCTGTACATTGTCCACCAACACACAACACATCACCTATACATTGTCCACCAACACATCACCTGTACAATGTCCACCAACACACAACACATCACCTGTACATTGTCCACCAACACATCACCTGTACATCATCCACCAACACACAACACATCACCTGTACATCATCCATCAACACATCACCTGTATATTGTCCACCAACACATCACCTGTACATCATCCACCAATACATCACCTGTACATCATCCACCAACACATCACCTGTACATTGTCCACCAACACACAACACATCACCTGTACATCATCCACCAACACATTACCTGTACATCATCCACCAACACATCACCTGTACATTGTCCACCAACACACAACACATCACATGTACATCATCCACCAACACAACACCTGTACATCATCCACCAACACATCAACTGTACATCATCCACCAACACATCACCTGTACATCATTCACCAACACATCACCTGTACATTGTCCACCAACACACAACACATCACCTGTACATCATCCACCAACACATCACCTGTACATCATTCACCAACACATCACCTGTACATTGTCCACCAACACACAACACATCACCTGTACATCATCCACCAACACATCACCTGTACATCATCCACTAACACATCACCTGTACATTGTCCACCAACACATCACCTGTACATCATCCACCAACACACAACACATCACCTGTACATCATCCACCAACACATCACCTGTACATCATCCACCAACACATCACATGTACATCATCCACCAACACATCAACTGTACATCATCCACCAACACATCACCTGTACATCATCCACCAACACATCACCTGTACATTGTCCACCAACACACAACACATCACATGTACATTGTCCACCAACACACAACACATCACCTGTACATTGTCCACCAACACACAACACATCACCTATACATTGTCCACCAACACATCACCTGTACAATGTCCACCAACACACAACACATCACCTGTACATTGTCCACCAACACATCACCTGTACATCATCCACCAACACATCACCTGTACATCGTCCACCAACACATCACCTGTACATCATCCACCAACACATCACCTGTACATTGTCCACCAACACATCACCTGTACATCATCAACCAACACATCACCTGTACATTGTCCACCAACACATCACATGTACATCATCCACCAACACATCACCTGTACATCATCCACCAACACATCACCTGTACATCATCCACCAACACATCACATGTACATCATCCACCAACACATCAACTGTACATCATCCACCAACACATCACCTGTACATCATCCACCAACACATCACCTGTACATTGTCCACCAACACACAACACATCACATGTACATTGTCCACCAACACTCAACACATCACCTGTACATTGTCCACCAACACACAACACATCACCTATACATTGTCCACCAACACATCACCTGTACAATGTCCACCAACACACAACACATCACCTGTACATTGTCCACCAACACATCACCTGTACATCGTCCACCAACACATCACCTGTACATCGTCCACCAACACATCACCTGTACATCATCCACCAACACATCACCTGTACATTGTCCACCAACACATCACCTGTACATCATCCACCAACACATCACATGTACATCATCCACCAACACATCACCTGTACATCATCCACCAACACATCACCTGTACATCATCCACCAACACATCACCTGTACATCATCCACCAACACACAACACATCACCTGTACATCATCCACCAACACACAACACATCACCTGTACATTGTCCACCAACACACAACACATCACATGTACATCGTCCACCAACACACAACACATCACCTGTACATTGTCCACCAACACATCACCTGTACATCATCCACCAACACATCACCTGTACATCATCAACCAACACATCACATGTACATCATCCACCAACACATCACCTGTACATCATCCACCAACACATCACCTGTACATCGTCCACCAACACATCACATGTACATCATCCAACAACACATCACCTGTACATCATCCACCAACACATCACCTGTACATCATCCACCAACACATCACCTGTACATCATCCACCAACACACAACACATCACCTGTACATCATCCACCAACACATCACCTGTACATCATCCACCAACACATCAACTGTACATCATCCACCAACACATCACCTGTACATCATCCACCAACACACAACACATCACCTGTACATCATCCACCAACACATCACCTGTACATCATCCACCAACACATCAACTGTACATCATCCACCAACACATCACCTGTACATCATCCACCAACACATCACCTGTACATTGTCCACCAACACACAACACATCACCTGTACATCATCCACCAACACATCACCTGTACATCATCCACCAACACATCAACTGTACATCATCCACCAACACATCACCTGTACATCATCCACCAACACATCACCTGTACATCATCCACCAACACATCACCTGTACATCATCCACCAACACATCACCTGTACATCATCCACCAACACATCACATGTACATCATCCACCAACACATCACCTGTACATCATCCAACAACACATCACATGTACATCATCCACCAACACATCACCTGTACATCATCCACCAACACATCACCTGTACATCATCCACCAACACATCACCTGTACATCATCCACCAACACATCACCTGTACATCATCCACCAACACATCACCTGTACATCATCCACCAACACATCAACTGTACATCATCCACCAACACATCACCTGTACATCATCCACCAACACACAACACATCACCTGTACATCATCCACCAACACATCACCTGTACATCATCCACCAACACATCACCTGTACATCATCCACCAACACATCACCTGTACATCATCCACCAACACACAACACATCACCTGTACATCATCCACCAACACATCACATGTACATCATCCACCAACACATCACCTGTACATCATCCACCAACACATCACCTGTACATCATCCACCAACACACAACACATCACCTGTACATCATCCACCAACACATCACCTGTACATCATCCACCAACACATCACCTGTACATCATCCACCAACACACAACACATCACCTGTACATCATCCACCAACACACAACACATCACCTGTACATTGTCCACCAACACACAACACATCACATGTACATCGTCCACCAACACACAACACATCACCTGTACATTGTCCACCAACACATCACCTGTACATCATCCACCAACACATCACCTGTACATCATCAACCAACACATCACATGTACATCATCCACCAACACATCACCTGTACATCATCCACCAACACATCACCTGTACATCATCCACCAACACATCACATGTACATCATCCAACAACACATCACCTGTACATCATCCACCAACACATCACCTGTACATCATCCACCAACACATCACCTGTACATCATCCACCAACACACAACACATCACCTGTACATCATCCACCAACACATCACCTGTACATCATCCACCAACACATCAACTGTACATCATCCACCAACACATCACCTGTACATCATCCACCAACACACAACACATCACCTGTACATCATCCACCAACACATCACCTGTACATCATCCACCAACACATCAACTGTACATCATCCACCAACACATCACCTGTACATCATCCACCAACACATCACCTGTACATTGTCCACCAACACACAACACATCACCTGTACATCATCCACCAACACATCACCTGTACATCATCCACCAACACATCAACTGTACATCATCCACCAACACATCACCTGTACATCATCCACCAACACATCACCTGTACATCATCCACCAACACATCACCTATACATTGTCCACCAACACACAACACATTACCTGTACATCGTCCACCATGGTCCAGTTGACGGCAGAGAGGTTGAAGTGGTAACATTCTGTAGGGTGACTGATGGGGTGAACTTCAAGGAGGAAGCCTTTCACTGCCCTGTAGGAATCTGGAAACAAGTCCCAGTCTATGACATCCATGTCTCATCTTATTTGTGTTTTCACCTAAATAAAGCTAAGGAAAACATGAAGTGAATATGAGCTTACTATACCATTATCTACTTTTTCACACAATGTCAAAGAAATACCTGAACCTGTCACTCCCCCTGAACCTGTCATGTTTCTTCAAGTCACTCCCCCTGAACCTGTCATGTTTCTTCAAGTCCCTCCCCCTGAACCTGTCATGTTTGTTTAAGTCCCTCCCCCTGAACCTGTCATGTTTCTTCAAGTCCCTCCCCCTGAACCTGTCATGTTTCTTTAAGTCCCTCCCCCTGTACCTGTCATGTTTCTTCAAGTCCCTTCCACTGAACCTGTCATGTTTCTTCAAGTCACTCCCCCTGAACCTGTCATGTTTCTTCAAGTCACTCCCCCTGAACCTGTCATGTTTCTTCAAGTCACTCCCCCTGATTTGTTCTTGAGGTGTTGCACGATACATACAGGAAAACCTGTCATGCTGAAACCATCAGAACTAAACATGTGGCATAATATACACATGCACAAAAGTTAAGCGCCACCATATTCATAGTCTCTTGATTTCACGTGTGGGAATCAGAAATACGAAATATGATGATGTATGGCTGAATTAGGCTTCCATAGTTTCATGAACCCAAATTTGTCCAGATACCACAAGGAAAGTGTGCTTTACGTGTTACTGCAGTTCCCCTACCCTATAAATAGTGAAATTCAAGTTTCCAACATGTGGTTGCATTTTGCTCTTGTGTGAGATTCCCCTTCCAATAGAGGTTGAAAATCAGCCATGGTGAGGAGAAAGTTAACAAACTCTGAAAGATGGCAAGTGATAGGCATAAAAAATGCTGGCATGTCATGAAGGGCCATTGCAAGACAAATGGGTCATTATCACAGTGTTTTCACTCGTTTGATTGTCAAACATGGTCAAACCAATGATGTCAATGACAGGCATAGGTGCGGTAGGCCAAGAAAGACCTCTAACAGAGAGGATAGACGTCTTTTCAGGATAGTCAGACAAAATCCATTTGCCACTTTAACAGATTTAAGACTGCAGTGGATTACCCATCAGTGACTCTCGACGATGACCGTAAGGCATCGCCTCAGAGCGGCTGGTTATAACGCCAGAAGACCAGTAAAACGTCCTCAACTGACTGAGAGGCACATGTGGAATCGTCTGATATGGTGTCGTGCCTGTAGTCGATGGAACTTGGCCAACTGGAGAAGGATCCATTGATCTGACGAGTGTCGAATGCTGCTATGAACTGTTGATGGTCGAATACATGTTTGGAGGCAATGTAACACTCGTTTTGTACCAAGGAACATCCATAAGACCTTAGCATGTGGTGGGGGGTCTGTCATGGTATGGGGTTGTGTTTCCTTCGGCTGCAAACTTCCGCTGGTGACAATTTCGTGGAAACCTGAATGGCCAACAATACCATGATGCCGTTCTTTGTCCCGTGGTAGTCCCTCATTTTGACAACCATCCTCTTCAGACAAGACCTGTTTACATGGACGACAATGCTAGACCATACAGATCTCGGGCAGTTTTGGCTTATTTGTGTCAAGAAGCTATTGCCACTCTTGGCCGGCCTGTAGTCCGGATCTTAATCCGATTGAGCATCTCTTGGACATTTTGGCCAGAAAATCAGACATTGTGATCCCCCAGTTCAAAATGTTCAGGATCCTGGTTGAGGACAAGGTGGGATTGACATTTGCAAGGGACCCGTCATAAGCAGGGATGAATGAATCCTGAGGAGAAGAGTCGGAGCAATAATCTCTATGGAGACAGACTGGAGAGTGGCTCCAGGACCGACATTTAGAATGGGATGTCTTGTCCCACTTCATCTTGATGAAGGAGAGGCAGAGCTATGTGATGAAGACAAACAACGCCAATAGTGTTGGCTGGTTATTAGCGGTACGGAAGACTCCCGAGTTAGCTCCCTTGTCTTCACTCTTCTCTCTCTCATTTGTTTGTACTCGCCTCGTGGTTTTCGAAAATAAAACCTCTCGCAACCGAAAAGCCTCTCCATCTTGTGTCCCTATCGTCAGTGGTCTAAGAGTGTCCGTCAAACCCTACTGGCGTGGTGGCAGCGCTACAGACAAGTTCCCACACCTGACATTTGGTTGGATCGTGCAAAACACTCAAAGTATCACAATCGCTTCACAGCAGACGATCGGTCAGTATTGCTTTTTCTGGATAGCACAAACCGCCTCCGTGGTCTTGTGGTAGAGCGTCCGCCCGGAGAGCGGAAGGTCCAGGGTTCGATCCCGGGCCGCGTCATACAAAAAGACGTTAAAAGATTGTACTTGTTGTTACCCTGTCTGGCGCTCGGCATTAAGGGGCTAAAACAAGGACTGGTCGGCTCGGAGTCAGTATACTGTGTCTGAGTGGGGTATTCATGTTAAACTGCGGCATGGTATCTCAGTGAGCTAGCACTATAAATCGGCATCAGTCCGGACTAGTACAAGCAGCCACACACACACATACACGTGCATGCACGTCGCTATATAAGTGCAATAATCTTGGACGCGACGTTAAACCCAATTTCAACTCACCTCACCTGGATAGCACAAGTTACACCCTCATCATGGCTAATACTGCGAGAGCACCTAAACAGTGGTGTTTAACCAAACAAGAGACAGTTAATTCATTTGAGAAATGGCGTCAAGATCTTTTGTACACATTGTCACTAGATCGGAACTTTGCTCCATTCCTAGCGACAGGTGCCACATGGCTCAAGAAAACCGCCCATGCTCCCTTGCGTGGATTTACCAAAGATAATGAGGAGGTTCCCGTCGCGTTGCGACGAACAGCTCTACAAAAGGTCAGTGCCTTGGAACTTATGCCAGGACAGGTAGCTAATTATTGCCCCGTTATCTCAAGGAACACTATGGTGAAGAATTCTACATCCATTGATCAGATCTGGCAAGTTATCAGACTCCATTATGGATTTCAGTCTACCGGAGCTCACTTCATAGACTTTTCTGACATTAAGCTTGACCCTGAGGAACGCCCAGAAGATTTATATCAGCGCCTCATGGCCTTTATTGAGGACAATCTCTTGCGTCGGGAGGGTGCTATTACGCACCATGGTGTGATAATCGACGAGGACGAGGAACTTTCTCCCACTTTAGAGAACTTTGTTATACTCACATGGCTACGATTGATTCACCCTGAATTGCCAAGACTGGTCAAGCAAAGATATGGTACTGAACTACGCTCACGGACTTTAGCTTCCATCAAACCGGAAGTCTCGCAGGCGCTTTTATCTCTCCTAGATGAGATACGTACAGGGGATGACGTGAAGATTATAAGGGCTGCAGCGTCCTCAGATGGCAAGCGAAGATGACCCATACCATCATAGAACAGTCGACCTCTGACCCCCCAGAATCAATAGGTACGTCGTTTGCTGCAGATGTCTTGAAGCAGTCAGGACAACTCATTCTTGTCTTGCGAGAAACAGTAACCTCGTACACCAGCGCATGTCTCATCGAAAATGAGAGGGGAGATACACTACGCGATGGTCTCATACGCCTTTGCGTTGAACTCCGACCATTAGACGGTCCAGTAGCTGTGATCAGAACAGACCCCGCCACCGGATTTGCCTCCATCATCAATGATAAGCTCCTTCACAAGCACAGAATAAATCTTGAGATAGGGAGAGGGAGAGTGAAGAATGTCAATAAAAACCCTGTTGCCGAAAGAGCCGTCCAAGAGCTAGAAGAAGAACTTCTACGCCAAGATCCTTTGGGTGGCTCTGTCACAGTTCTGACGCTTTGTGTGACCCTAGCCCGGTTGAATGCTCGTATACGGGGAAGGGGCCTATCGGCCAGGGAAATGTGGACACAACAGGATCAATTCACTAACAGCCAGTTACCTATCAGCGACAGGCAGTTGATAACTGACCAACATTCCCAGCGTTCCAGTAATCACCGCCACAGCCAGAAGTCAAAAGCCCCAAAGGGAGTTCTACCCTCTAGTGCCCAGGTACGGGTTGGTGACCTGGTTTATCTTCACACAGACCGTAACAAGACTCAAGCTAGAGACCACTACCTTGTGGTCCACTCAGATGGTTCTTGGTGCAACATTCAAAAGTTTGCCGGGAAGCAGTTGAGAAGTGCTTCATACAGAGTGAAACAGTCTGAGTGCTTCACAGTACCTAATTTCATGCCGCTGACGTCAGTACGCACTCATGCAGGGGCCAATGAGGATGACGACACTGAAGGAGACAAGTCCATGGCAAGCTACCATCAACCACCAGACCCCCCTCATATTCATCTAATCCTTTCTAGTCCTCCAGAGAATGACCCTCTACCTGAGTATCAGACTCATGAGATGCCTGCACCAGCCTGCAGTTCCCCTACTATCCAATCAGACCAAGAAGATACAGTCAGCGATATTCCCGGCCACGTCTACACCTCTGAACCCGTGACTAGTCACCCTACCTAACGTCATCTACCCAGCCGTTTATGTGACTACGTCCTTGACTGATATAGACAATCTGTGAGTTTATTCTCACGCGAGTCATTGTGGACTCACACAGTGTGTTGGGCAGAATAATCCCATAGACTTGATGGCAGTCTACCCTATGACGGTCTACTCTATGCTTCATACATTTTGTTTGTCACTATTCCCATAATGTTACCACGTTTTCTTGTACATTATAGGCAATGTTTGTGTTAGTTTCGTTCACACGGCGGTTAGTGTATGGTACCACCATTATGTCCATCTTAATTCCCAGGCAGAAAGCCCACTTCTTTACTCAGTTTCTGTCACTGGCCTTCTGGAGAAGGAAAGAAGAAGTTACGCCAATAGTGTTGGCTGGTTATTAGCGGTACGGAAGACTCCCGAGTTAGCTCCCTTGTCTTCGCTCTTCTCTCTCTCATTTGTTTGTACTCCCCTCGTGGTTTCCGAAAATAAAACCTCTCGCAACCGAAAAACCTCTCCATCTTGTGTCCCTATCGTCAGTGGCCTAAGAGT